TTCGTAGATCATGACAAAAATAATGTCGTGAAATATGTAATAACAAATCATCAGCTTACATATAAGTCGTAACACATTGGATCCCATTCTAAATAAAAAAAAATTATAGAGTTTGAAGACCGTAAGAGGACTTTGGCCCATTAATTTTAAATAATTTAGGCAAATAACTATCATAGATTGACATACATATTGGGTGGAACTGAGATTTAATCAAACTTGTCGTTAGGATGCATGCCAACTTCATTGACCAAAACTGACAACCACATAGTAGAAGTTCAAAATGATATTGGAATATAATATATAGTTGATGAACATTTTTCATAATGGTTATGGCTGTTAGTTTTGACCATAATGTTAAAGGTTAAAGATGTGGCAATTAACATCAATACTTTAAGCAATGCAAAGCTGTCTTTCGTTAATTTTTGATATTGATGTAAACCAACCGTTGGAAGATAAATGTCCGCATAACTAATTTGGATTAATCTGAGTAACGAGAGATTTTAGTAGTTTAAGTAAGTAATTATGATTTAAATCTCAACTTTTACATATACAAAACTCTAATTAATTAAGAGGGATATCCACCTATTTAGTATAATTTCTAAAAGAGATTACTTCTCATATTGAAAATATTCATTAATAATTTTAAAAAATTACTAAAAAAATCATGTTTGAAGTAAATTTCATTCTTCAAATATTTAATACAATAACATATCTAAAACTTGAATTCAAAATAACTGATTAAGTAACTCGGTAATCTTTTTCTCCCTAATATTGATATTTAAAATGGTACAAATGATTATAACTACTTTGTTAACGTTCTGAATGATTACTATATAGACATGTAAATTTGGATTTAGTGGGGAAAAATATACGAGCCACAAAATTGAATCATAATATACGTACATTTTTTTTATTATCGAAGCATAGTAATAAATAAACTACGAGTTACGTTTACCTTATTTGAAATGCTTATAATGTGTGTTTCTCGAAATTAGGGCCTATGTTTCTGTTTGGTCATGAAAAGATATATATTCAAAGCCATTTGAAAATGAGATGATATTTGGAAAATGTGATTATATTTTTTAATTAGAAAAAACATTTTAATATAATTATTCTCATTTTTTAATAAATAAGAGATTAAATATGTATAAAATAATAATAATGGAAAATTCATATTTCTCTAACAAAGTATTATATATATATATATATATATATATTCCTGCAGACAAGAAGTTTATAATTATTTTTGTTATACAAAAACAACAATAACCATACTTTTTTTCTTATATTCATTGATTACATATATATATTTATTATATCCACACTTACTATTCACACTTTACTTAAGTATAAAATTAATAAAAAAAATATTAATTTAAAAATTACTTCAAGATGAATTAAAAAATTATTCTCAAATATGTATATACATTTTAATTATATTTAAAAAGTAAAGGATATGTTATTTTAACATGTAAGTTTTTATACCTGTTTCTTATATCTATCTCATTTAAAAGTTAGACTAATTTTTGTTTCCCTCTTTTCTTTTCCTCTTTAATTTTTCAAAATGAATGATGTAAAGATGGTAAATAAGTTTTAAAATGAATGTCAATATGATAATTAAAATATATATATAGAGAGAGAAAAAGATGAGGGAAAATATATATCCATCTTACATTTGGTGAATTGGGTTCGAGAGAAAAAAAAAATGAATACAATAAAAAAATTAAGAAAAAAAAGTATAATAAAATTTTGATAAAAGAAAATATGGGTATAACTTTATAATAAATTAAAAGTTATTGAGAAAAATTCAAATTCTATGTAAATTAGATAGATAAGATTAAAATAAAGTATACAAAGTAAGAGATATTATTGATAATTGGGTGATTTATTTAGCCTCAAGTGTGTGAATCAACAATTATCTTTATTTTCCCTTATTACTAGTTTTGTAATTCTTGTTAATTCTTTAGGAATTTTGGATCAATTCTCTTGAATGGACCCCTTTTTTGTAGGAAAATAAAGCTGAAGAGGTTTGAAAAATCCAACACTTGAGGATCATATTTGAGCAAAAGAGTGACTCTTTCGAAATCTTGCTGAACAAGACTGAAGGAAGGAAAACATTAAGCCACAAACCCATTTTCTAGCTCAATGAGCCTACTTTAGCTCAAAGACACTAGACCACAAAAGCTTTCTCTCCTTAAGCGATACCTAGGTGCTAAGCAAGAGACCTATAAGAGACCCTTGAAAATAACATAGACATTTTCTCACTCAGTGAGACATTGTGGTCATTAAGCGAAAATTAGTAAATACCTAGACATTTGAGACAAAGAGAATGTTCTCTATTAGGACAATATTGGGGTTTTGAGAAGGCCCCATGAAAGCTCCATTTTACCACTTCCATCATTTCGTCACCATTTTGTGTGGTTCCAATGGCTATTTGTAGCTAAACTCCTACTCATTGGAATTGGATATAACTAGTTGAACTTGATGTTAACTTTGCTTCATTACTTTATAATTTTGTTTCATTCATTAGTGTTTTCACTCTTCTCTTAAAGCTCTTTGATGCAATATATCTTGAGTTGATTTATTGCTTTGGTTATTGTTGGAAAATGTTTATTTAGCTATGTATGAGTTAAAACATACATTGAGAGTCATGTTAAGAAATGAATGAGTCTCAATGGGCATTTGTGAACTACCCTTGTTTAAAGCTTGTAATTCAATCAAGTCAGCCAAAAGATTGAAGATTTGAATGAAATACATGGTTTCATGTTCTTAAAGGATTAGAGCTTGAAGATTTTCTGTGGTAATATTAATGTTGAGAAGAAACATCAAGGAAAACCTTTTATGAACTAATACATGATGTTAATCTAGTGAAATCCAATCCCAATGGTTCTCTTCATTTGATTCTACGTATTTATTCTCTCACATATTTGATAAAAATTTCAAAAGACAAACTAAATTCCTTTGCTTATTTTATTGCTTTAGAGTACGTTTATGCAAAAATCAACATCAAACAATTACAATTTCATTTTTTTGAGTTCTTGTATAGTATATTAAGTTACAATTGTCATATATTACACAAGTTTCTTTGCGAGACAAGCTTAATTTGAATTTAATACATGTAATTTGGTTAACGTCCCAACCCATTAACAATCACCTTGTAACTTACAAATTGATTTTGTAAATTTGAAACTTAAACTCATAAAATGATATTAAAGTCTATCATAAATTTATTAAATCAGATACTTATTATATTATTTATGTACCAAACTTGTTAGTATTGGATAGGAAGAGTGTAAAAAAAAAAAAAAAAAAAGCCTATTTCTACCTTAACTAGAGATATAACGATATATAATAGATAAGTATGAATATTTTTTTTACCTTACAGAAGTTGAGTTAAAATATTCTACGAAAAATTATTAAGTAGGTTTGTACTTGGACCACCGATCATTTTACACAGGATGACGTTATTAAATGCTTGCTTAGAATAAGAAAGCTGGACCATGACTTTTCGTTGTTTTGACAAAACCCCCGTTTCTAAAAGTTTCAACTAATTAATATATAGGGCCTAGATACAAGCTTTATCCCTACCTAGCTAGAGTGAAAGGGAAAAGAAGTAGCACATCAAGTAAAACAAAGGGAAATCTTAAATCAACTTTAAAGTCCGCTTTCCAATAATCAATGTTTCAGTTTCATATTATATATATTTTATATGATGTATGCATGTTAGGTTACTGTTGAAGAGGAACTTATATCTATTATAAGTATTACTGTGATCCTGACGAGTGATGATAGATAGATTCACTAAGCATTGGATGCACAAAACTCATCTATACTGGAGTATTGCTCATAAACGGAATGGAATTATTTGGTCAGCAACGTGTAGTTAACTATTTTTTTGTCCAAAACTTCCACTATGTGAATCTTATATATGTTGGCCCTCTGATTTATCTGAGTCAAGTTGAGTAGAAGAATCATTTTAGGTAGCAAATTAAATTCTCTAAATTTTTTACAAATTTGCATTCATAGGAACCCAAACTTGAAATTTCTTATTAAGATACAACACCTAGCCAGAACCAACTGATTTATATGTAAAGAGTTTATTTAAATTCAAACTAGAAACATTTTTAAAAAAAATTATTAAAAATAAAAAGTTCTTATTAATGTTTTTAAATTAATTTGTATTCAAACAGACAACTGTAATAAGTTATCAAAACATGATGAAACAACTAACTATTGTCTTCAATCCAGAAATCATATTTCAAAAGAATATTAGCAGCTAAAGTCACGTAATTCAAAAATCATTTTTTTTCTTATTGATAATTATGAAACTATATGAGAGGCCCTAGCTAGAGTAGCTTCTTAGGGAGTAAGCAAAATGCACCCTATTTAAACATGTCATTTTATGCAATTAATGTTCAGTTCCATCTACAAGACAACACGCTTGGATCACCATAAATACTAGATATATTTTATGTATATTTTGGGCATGTAGGAGTGACTCCACAGTCCACAGTCCACACCACAGATGACAATTGGCAATATAATTCTGAAGAGAAATTAATTCCGTGTCCCTCTCCTTTTTAGGAAATTAATTATTCGTCAACTTTAGACAATTTTTTTTAGCAAATAAAAGAGAAATAAGAGAGAAATGTGAAATAAATGAAAAATGTACTGTAATGTGGAAAAATAAAAATGAAAACCAAATTATAAAAATAGAAATACACACACACCAACCACATTCATTGCTGAACGCAGACTATATGATATGGCACTGTACCTAGTAACCTTTCCTGCTATAAGATTGCATAGAATTTGACCGGTCTTCTATGTATACAGTATACACATGATAAATCATAAATCTGTGAAGGATAACACATATCAGTTAGAACACGAAAGGTATTAAATGATAGCCAAATTAATACACAGGATAATAGTCAGAGAAACTACACTGCTACGGATCAACATTCAACACTAGCTATTATGAGACAAAGACTAATTAATTAAGCAGAAATATAGCTACACATAGCTAGTTAAATATATACACATATATCTAACTAGTTTTATTTTCTATAATAATCAATTACAACCCCTTGTAACAATTTTTTTTTTCGTAATCATGTTGACAGAATATCTCAAAGTTGATATCAACGATTAATCTGCATTTGTGAAATGTGACTTCTGTCGGCACAAATAACTAGTAGCAGCGGTTAATAATAATAAAAATAACAATGTACAAAATCATGTCATTGCTCCCCGGGGTAGCTAAACTCTTCCAAACCTTGACAATTTGAAGCAAGAGAATTATGATGATAAATGGAAGTGCTAGTTTCACCCCAATTTGTGGTAGATTCTATTATCTTATTATGGTCGATCATGCCCTCTCCGTACAAGAACTCCAACCCTTGTGGAAAATTTGAAGAAGGCACTAGTTCTTCAATTGATGGAGTGAAATTACTACCATGTCCTTGCAACAAGGTGTTAACTCCAGAACCCTGTGCACTAAAGTATTGACATTGATCACCACTTTGTGCAAATTGAACCTCATTATTGCTAATGTTAACAGTGGTGGTAGTGCAAACAGAAGAAGAAGAAGAACCAACATGGAGTTGTTGATCTTGAAAACTTTGTTGCCCATCTGAGAGTTCAAGATTCAAGCCATCAAGGGCAGGATGGTAATAATCACCTGAAAATCTGCCTCCGAGTTTGATGAGGAGTTTTCTGATAGAATCTTGGTCGTTGAAACATGGACCATGGTCTGTATATGGCAAGGGTAATGGTAATGTTAAGGGTAGTGGCAGCACAGGCATATTAATATTCTGGGGCCAACATTGTTGTGTAGTACTATTATTTTCATGAACCAAGGATAAGGATGAAGAATCACCATCAGTACTACTCCGTCTATTAACATCACTTTCTTGCTTGATAATACTGTTGTAGTTGCCTCTATTACGTGGCTCTCTTCGGTGCTTCCCCAGAAGCTTCTTTTTAAGCCTCGTGTTCCAGTAGTTCTTTATGTCATTATCTGTTCTTCCTGGTAATTGAGCTGCAATCACCGACCACCTGCGATCACAACATGTGTTGTTCATTAACTAGCGTGTTTAGAAATCCTTTGAGAAATAAGAAATTAACCACTTCTGAAGGATGTGAAAGTTATATAACATGTATGGTTTAAAATACACTATGATTTATTTCTTATAATAAGAAGAAGAGAGAGTAAATATCTCCTTGGTAAATGTGAAAACTTATGTTTGAGCTATGTATTGTAACTAGAAAATTTAGCTAGCTAGAGTGCACTTAAAACATATAGATGAGTGTGTACAAACCTGCTTCCAATGCTGACGTAAAGGCTGCAAATAATGTTGTCTTCTTCTTCAGAAAAACCACCGTGCTTGAGATTAGGGCGAAGATAGTTTAGCCACCTAAGGCGGCAACTCTTGCCACATCGCTTCAAGCCTGATTCACAAAATCAATATAACTGTAAGACACCACAAGAAAAAAGGGCTTCAATCAAAATTAGTATTTCATGTTGATCATAATGGTTGTTAAATCAAAGACAATTACCGGAACCAAATGCTATTTTTGACATAAAAATAGTACTATATATAATAATACCCTTGATACTGTATTTTAAGTTTTATCAAAAGGGAAAATTTGAAGTCCAGCTGCAGAATTTTGAAGTCTAAACGAGTTTCTTTAAGTGTTGATACTTATAGTCTATATAGTCTGTTTAGATATAAGTTAGAAGTGTTTTTAACGGTATTTTCGGGGAAGATAAAAAGTTTCTCTACTATTAAAATCGCTTCTCATAGCGGGTTTGGAAAATCGTTATAACTTTTAGCTTATACAAGCTACATCAGAAACGTGAAACCAAACACGTTATCAGTGAATAAAATGAAGAGATAATAAGTGTGAATGAAACAATTTATAAATAGGGTTAGAATAATGAAAGTAGTGTGTGAATATATATACCAATCTTTTGAGGCAAAGCAATCCAGTTACCACCGGTGCCATGTTTTTCTATGTAAGATTTGAGCTTAGCATCTTCTTCTGGAGACCATGGTCCTTTCTTCACGTTTGCTTTGTCGCAGCAAGGAGCCCTGCCCATGTTGCCTTGGTCTTGTGCTTTGAGCTTTTTGATTGATTGGGGTAACCTCCACTCTTTAATTACAACCCCGGCCAAGTCAGAATTATAAGAGAGAGAGAGAAAGAGAGAGAATGAGAATTATTAATATAAAAACTTTGAGGGGATAAACATGATTCCAAGAGCATCCATTGTACTATTTTTATATAGGGTGTGTGGCAGAAAAGAAAGGTATGTGTATTTATTTGTATAGAAAATTCCTGAAATTTAGTATTGCCAGAATAGGAGAATAAGGTTTGTTCTTCTTGTCTTTCTTAGACCGGAATCAATTTATGTTGTATATACTATGGGCTACCATTTTTAATTTCCCTTCCAACTTTTTGAACTCCACTCCCTTGTGACCTTCACTGCCTCACTGTCCAGCCATATATACATGCATCTGACATGGATCAGTCTCTTGTTACACTCTTTCTTTAATTATTCTTTTCCTACAAAATTAATTATAGATGCAATGCAATTATTTGTATACCTCTTTTATATATGAATATTTTCTTTTTGGTACATAAAAGTTTAAATGGAGATAAAATATGATTTCATGTAAGATTAGAATCGATCACTAAATTCTTTAAGGATTTTTTTAGGATTACATATTGTCTACTCTATCTTTAACATAAATTTGCATGAAAAGATATAAGGAATTCAGATTTGATCTCAAGTTTTAATTAGTAAGAGTAAAGAGACTTATGTTATTCTCACTTGAATATATGTATATATAAGTATATATATTATTAATTTGCTCACCCACTTAAACCTTGATATTGCAAATTAATAGCTCTATTTTTAGTTATAGTGTAAAATATCTCTGAAAATGTAATATATGTAGGATTTTATATTTTGTGTGTTGTTTGAGTCATGAATGTTGCACATTATTTAATTGTGATGTAGCTTTTTGTCAATGCTTTGAAATTTGCCTGAGAAGGTTGTCTTATTAATGTAGTGTTAATATGTTCCAACTTCTAAGTTGACTGGCCTTTTGATCACTTTAGGGCAAAGATAGTCTGAAATACACGCGAAGGGCGTAACGTAGTCCTCACAGCCTTAACTGATAGACCGTTCACAAATCCAAGTTTAGACTTCTTTTCAAACCAGGGTTTTTAAAAATGTATGATAGAGAAAAATGCTTCTAATTAAGGACAATCTTTTTAATAAGCTTTAATGCAGACTAATGAAGAGAAAAAAACTGAGAGTAGTGAGAAAGATGATGTGTAAAAGTAGAAGACTTTAAGAAATTCATAATTACACCAAGAAGGAAGACAAAGATAACAGTGGCCTTTTTCTTTATAAATAATTTTATCTATTAACGATAGTGGCCTTTGAAACAATTAATTTTATGAGATTTATTTAGGCCAGATTTAAAAAAAAATGACACGTTTCTTAATTTTTTTTTCCCTAATGTATACGTATTTCAATAAATTTTAGGTTTAAATATAATTTTTATTCTCTTAAATTTAGAATAATTTTTTAATCACTTAAATATAATTTTTTTTAATTATCTTTATTTATTTTAGAAAAACTTATTTTATTATCTCAGATCATCTGTAATTAACATTACTAAAATAAAATATTAAGTCAATTGTATAGTAACAATTGTGTTTAATATAATGATTTTACTAATAAAATCTTAGTGTAAGTACATTTTAAATGATAGACTAGGAAACTGTTTTTCAAATTTAGGGGATAAAACAGACTTATCTAAAATTTGAAGGTCTAAAAATATTAATATTTGAAGTTTATTATCAGATTTATGTGCATTAGTTTACATAAACATGTAATTGATGTGAAATATTCTCTATCAACTTTGTTAATGACTAATATTTATTAGAAATCTAGCTAATTGAATAGTGACCACACCTCTAATCTCCTCTCATTCATAATCTTTTCACCTGCACGCAAGACTTAGATTGAGACACCTTATTTGAGTTGTGTTTTAGTCTGATTAATGACTTATTAACACAAAATTTATGTTTATAAATTGTAAAAAAAAAAAAAAAAAAAAAAAAAAAAAAAAAATATTAAAAAAAAATTTTTTTTTAATATTTTTTTTTTTTTTTAATTTTTTAAAAAAAATTTTTTTTTAATATTTTTTTTTTTTTTTAATTTTTTAAAAAAAATTTTTTTTTTAAATTTAAAAAAAAAAAAAAAAAAAAAAAAAAAAAGAGTAATTATATAAAGATAATTTTATTTTATGGGGTCAGTAACTTGCCAACCAAACATCAGCTAAGCAAGGAAATTTTATAACCAGATGATGTTGATATCTAATTGTGCTTAATCTAAAATTGAAAGGTTAACAAAGTTTCTAGAAGCTAAAGAAACATGGCAATAGCAAGCATTGAATTTATGTGGAAAACTTGTTGGGTTTTTTTCTACCATAGATTTTTGGTTGGTGAACAAATGACTAAAAAGATAGAATAAGAGTGCCGTGAGAACCGAGGCAGTAGGCTGACTATAGTGGGGGCAAACACAACCCCTGTTTCTATTACTTGCTTCCCATGCATGTTCGAGCCATTACACATAGATAAAAATAAAATAAAGATTAATTGAGATAAATAAAATAAAAAATTAACTAAGATTGGATTATAGTTTGTGATTAATAATCAGAAGATTTTGAACAATTTTTGAGTTGTTAATAATGATAAAAATAAGATATAATATAAAAGTTATAAGGATAAAATTGTCCAAAATTATATACAACAAAAGGAGATATCCCTTTTATTATTAGCATAGATTATAAAATAAAAATATCAAAAACATTTTTTCTAACATTGTCTATCACTAAATCAAGAGAAAATTTTATTAAATAATCAAAATATAAAATTGTTTACTATTACGACATTTGTAATTTATAATAAATTTTTATTAATAATAAAGAATATTAATAAGAATGTAGCTGAAACTCTTCATATAAAATAAAAGCAAGTCTCTATTCTTTGATACAAATGATTGATATATTTCTTGGGTTGCATTTGAGGGAATCAATTGGAAAAATAATTAATAATAGAGGACAGCTCATTTTTTATTAGTTCGAAAAAACGAGGGAATGGTCGTTTTATATTTTATTTTTTTATATATAAGTCGTAGTATTTAAGTAGGACAGATGGAATTTTAGAAGTATATTTTAGTGTTACCTTTTTCTTTTTACTGAAATATTTTAGTGTTACTTATGATAGTAAGTTAGTAACTAAGATATACATCACTCAAAAGTACAATATTAAAAAGAGAATTAACAGACCATAGCATAGAATTGAACATTAAGGTAGCACTAAAAACGTTAAATTTATCGATGAAATAGCATCATTATGTCGCTAATTGCATTGCTAAATTAATTAAAGACATGTAACGACCTGCCGTGGTCGTCACACTATGAAACAATACTTACACACTACTGGAATATTTATATATATATATATACTAAAATAGTATAATAAAATATTTACAACACAAGTTGCTAATCAAACAACTAACAACAATCAATTATATACAACAAAGTATGCTACTATAAGGTATCTTAAAAAAAATATCCATCTCCAGGCACCTCCTGTGACCTCTAGCAGCTATCTCCCAGCCTATCTCTGCCCTGCTCCCATACAACGTATGATCATCGCAGTCCAAACCACATGGAAACATGCAAGAGTAAGCTAGAGACAATAAACAACTCATAAATATCAAATATGGAACATAACAACTATATAATCATCTTCACATCCGACACAGAAGACAAACAACACATATATTACACATCTTTCAACAACACGTTTAAAACAGCTTACAACATAACAACATTATCATCATCCTTAATAGGGTTAACATACAACACAATCACATCTTAACAACATAACAACATAGATACAACTATTATCAACAACAAATCAACTCATCAACAACTTATGCGTCGTCACGCATTTCAACTCGGAGATCTCCAATAACTGAGGATGAGCAGTCTAGGTGGCATAAACCCTACCGAATCCAGTGTTTGACCTATCTCAACCAGGTCAGGTATAGAACAGCATTAGGAACTCTGAAGAGAACCAGGTATAGATAACAATAGGCGATAGCTCAGGTGTGCCACTTAGACTCGGAGGTCTAGCTGTCAGGACAGAAGGGTTTGAATATGAGCCTACCATGACCTTGGCTAGCATCAGCAATCCACATATGGAGTTAGCCCACCCACTGTCCTCCAAGTACCACGCACCCTCCAGTGCCTAGTCAAAGACTACATCTCTAACTAGATACCTTACTCAAATTGGTCATTCAACCATGACATGGATCGACTATTTCCATGTCGCCCACACAGTACTAAGGGATTCAACTTTAAAACAACTTTCAACTTATCTCCTTAGTACTATGTATCTCAACATAGGACATACATCTTCACCATATGTCCCCAAATTTTTAATTTTATAACAATAGACACCATAACAACTTTACAACAATAAACATCTAGCCGCTTATAATCGTTATAGCTCGGTCTGGCCCTTATACTGTGGTCGCTTTGTACATGTGTGCCTTGACCTTGCCCACACACAGGATCAACTAAGTCATAGAGGAGAACAACACAACGTGCACTCCAAGGGACAACTTCTCAATAAGGATTTTTCAACAAATTGGGCTCTCAGAGCACCACAACTATCTCAATCCACACAATGAGATGAGCAACTTCGAAAACATCTCCCCTAGTCCTAGTGATCAACAACTCATCATCACAGCTTAATCAGCTTAACAACTTAAACAACATACAACTTTTCCACTCATCATCTCAATCAACATTCAACTTGAACAACATAGTTTATCAGCACAACAACTCATCAACATTATTTAACAACACATCTAAACAACTCAACAACTCATTTCAACTTTAAACAACTCAATATTAGCTCAACTCTTAATTTACAACTCAATCATCATAAGGTAATCTCTTTTCAACACATGGCACAACATACAACTTTATAGCAACATACAACTCTATACTCAACATCATCTCTTCATTTCACTTTCTACTCATCATAATGCAATTATACAACTTCTTATTCAATTATACAACTATGCAACTTTAATAATTTTAACAACATGCAAACAACTTAATTAAACAACTATAGTCATTACAATATCAACTTAATGCAACTTAACATCTTTATAAACAACTTCAGCAATATACAACATATTTAAAATTCATCTATCATGTCAACTTACATAATATAAACAGCATAAATCAACTTAAGCACCCAACAACTCAACTATTTCAACAAAAGAACACCATGCATAAAGCTTCCCTAACTCTCATGAAATTAAACAACCTACATTCTAGCTTCCCTCACCTGAAG